GGAGGAGGAGGCGCCGTTCGCACAGTGTCCCTGATTGGGACCAATTTTGGTTCCAGTCGGGGTACACTTTTTGGTCCAACTTTCTCCGAATTGAATTCCGTTTGCACCGTTGCGATCGGGCAGTTAAACTCTATCATAAATATAATTTTTATATTTATTTGTAATACTTTTTCCGACATCATATTTTGACCTTAACAGAGTCAAAATTGGTTTAATTGACCTTTCTCATAAAAGGTTCTCTCATTTAATTCATATCAATTATTCTAATGATTTATTTTCAACAAATCAATTCAATATTTACATTCTAAACAAATTCTTTATTTACTCTTGATTTGGGTCTGTACTCAGGTTCCCAATCAAGACCACACAAATAGTCCACATATTGGATTTATCTCTATGAGACTTATCCAGATTTTGATATTAGATGTCAAAACAAATTTCGTATCGGCCTAAAGCCCAACAATAATTTATTTTAATCAAAACAAATTTGATTAATTGATTATTTATTCATTAATAATTCTAGGGTATATTTTGGGGCGTTACATGTATATTAAAAGGTTGTTTAAAATAAAAATAAGTCACAATGCAATCCTTGACAACAAAACCATAGGTCTACTGGAAAAACGCAGTTCAACAACAAAAATAAGTCACAATGCAATCCCTCACAACAAGACCATATGTCTACTCGAAAAACGCAGTTCAACAACAAAAATAAGTCACAATGCAATCCCTCACAACATGACCATAGGTCTACTGGAAAAACTCAATTGAACAACGAAAATAAGTCACAATGCAATCCCTCACAACATCACCATAGGTCTACTCGAAAAACGCAATTCAACAACAATGTTAAGTCACAATGCAATCCCTCACAACATGGCCATGCATAAACTGGAAAAACGCAATTGAACAACAAAACTAGGTCACAATGCAATCCCTCACAACATCACCATGCATAAACTTGAAAAAGGCAATTGAAAAACAAAACTAGGTCACAATGCAATCCCTCACAACATCACCATGCATCTGCTGGAAAAACTTAATTGAACAACAAAAATAAGTCACAATGCAATCCCTCAAAACAAGAACATGCATGTACTGGAAAAACGCAGTTCAATAACAATGTTAAGTCACAATGCAATCGATCACAACATGACCATATGTCTACTGGAAAAACTCAATTGAACAATGAAAATAAGTCACAATGCAATCGATTACAACATGACCACGCATCTACTGGAAGAACTCAATTCAACAACAAAACTAGGTCACAATGCGATCCCTCACAACATCACCATGCACAAACTGGAAAAACACAATTGAAAAACAAAACTAGGTCACAATGCAATCCCTTACAACAAGACCATGCATGTACTGGAAAAACTCAATGGAACAACAAAACTAGGTCACAATGCAATTGAACAACAACGAAACCTCAGAGTCGGAAACTAAGATTCATTACCTTCGGTCGCTTCGCCATTTGCTTTGTCGCAAGTCGCTTATCTTCATCAGCAATTTCATCCGATCGAGTGTCTTCTTCGTCCGTCATCTTCTGCGGTTAAGTCACAATGCAAAGTAGATGAATTGGGAAGTAGGTGAATTGGGAAGCAAATGAATTGTGAAGCAGAGGAATTTTGAATTTATTTGGTTTTTCTCGGCACTCTGATCAAAGAAGAACTAATTATAATTTTACGGGTAATAGGATCGGTTTTGACGGCTACTGGTAACGGCGACAGGTTATCATGGCTAACGGCAGCTCCTATTGGTGGGATTTAATCTTCCCATTCCTATTTTGGGCTTTTACTCCTATTTGGCTCCTTAACCCTTTAAAAATGAGAAATAAGATCAGGTTTGTGAAATGAGGCAAGTTGAGTACAATAATAAGATTTGGACAAAGAGTTCGATAAATTGAGCAATAATTGGTTTCAGTTATGAGATGATAGAGTAAATATTAAATAAATATGACATTTATTGAAAACAATACAATATGGATGTCAGTTGAAATGGAACAAATGCAAATGAATTTGAGGAATATGCGAAAAAAGCCGATACATATTGTGATGATGGACACGAATTGAACAAAGGCAGACGAATATGCAAACAATCGATAAAACTCACCTGAAGCCATAAATGATACTCGAGCAATGAATATGAATTCGACAGAAATTCGAACAATATGGAGAGGGAGACAATGGCGAACAGAGAAATCAGGATCAAAAGTAAAGATGAAGCCATTTCTATAAAGAGATAGAGAGCGTCATTGATTTTCTAGGAGAAGAATCCATAAGTAAAGAACAAATCGTGTATATCCATTCCATTAATTCTGCGAAAGGAATGATTAACTCAGAGAAGGTTGGCAAAGTTTTAGCCCTTATCACCTTATGTACGGGATGAATTAAGACTTAAATCTAAAGTTCATATTCATTCTTAATTCTTTTCTAAGATGTCATTCTCACCATAATATACACACACACAAATTTTTGAATAACTAAATATTCATTTTTGAGTAATAAAATATTTATTTTTGAGTAAGGGAACACTTATTTTTGAGTATAATTGAATTTTTAAAAAGTTAGTATTCAATCACTTGAAAATAAATATGCATTTCTTTGAAGATGAATATTAAATGAGAAAAGTGCACGGTTTACCCCCGAATTCTTTAAAAATTGCATGGTTTACCCCTGAACATTAAAAAGTGCACCAAATACCCCTGAATTCTTCTGAAATTGCACGGTTTACCCCTGAACAATAAAATTTACACCAAAAACCCCTGAACTCTTCAAAAATTGTACTGTTTACTCCTGAACATTTGAAAAAAGACGACAATTTTGGGTAAAGGTACTTTAGAAAATCACAAGGACTAAATGAATCATATTCATAATCCTTGTGCGTGGAAGCAACACACTCTCTATCTAATAATTTAGGACCAATGGTGCAACGGTTTAATTTGTTCAACAGTATTTGGTACCCCAGAGTACATTTTTTAGTATGCAGGGGTAAATCGTGCAATTTTCGGAAAGCTCGAGGGTAATCGGTGCACTTTTTAAAGTTCAAGAGTAAAACATGCAATTTCTAAAAAGTACGGGGTAAACGATGCACTTTACTCAATATTAAATTATAGGGAGTAAATGAGTATTAGCAATAGAAACATGATAGAACCCATGGATCTCTGATGAGTTGGGATGAGGTGATGAACACAGGGAAAAGGGAAGAGAAGCATGGCTGGATCAACGCATCTTCTGTCCACTCATCCATTCTCCACATATTTCCATCATCCTTTCCCCATCTTAAGGTTCTCTCTCTTTCTCTCCGTAAATCTGCATACATACACCTCTGTAAGCAGATCTTTCTGATGTTTTATTGTGATTCTGGCAGGAAACAGAGCTCGTTTTCGGCCCAAAAGAATAGAAAATTCGGCAAATCCATTGCATTTTCGAGCAATAGCAGAGAACACACTCTGCGGAATGGGCTCTCAAGGAGGGATAATTTAGCGTTGATTGGCTTATCTTCGCTTTCTCTATTCTTCCCTTCTTTTAGTAAGTCACTTATTTCAACAATTCTATTTTTTTTATTTTTGAAAACTCAACAATTCCTTTTATTTCCTTCTGCTTTGTCTCTCTTTTTTTATTCCCTGACCTTAGTTCTATTCCTCTTTGGGTGCACATTGAACTTCAATTTGCCCTGCTGAATGATGTTAGTAGTATGTTTTTTTTGTTAGAATGGATTGTATATTAAAGTAGGAAATTCAAATAAATAGTACCAAGGGAACATAAATTGACAAGCCGGAGTTGAATTTCCACTAAGAGTAGGAAAAGATCATGAAATCGATAAAATGAGCTTTTCAATGAGAGGACTGGGAGTACAAGAGTGTAGTGTTAGTGCATTTGGTTCATCTTTTCGTTCATGCAATGCATAAGAACATCTGACAATGCTGAATTGGCTGTACAGATCTTAGATAGTTTGCCTAATAGTCTTATTCGTATATCTTTGTGCTTTCCTAAATACACTCCTATATTACCTTTCCCCCTATATTTAGAAACTCAAGTTTCATTCTTTGTGCATAATACACTTTTTTCTTTCTTTCTATCTTCTGAGCTTCTTGAGCTACTGGTTAGCACGATAGGTCTGTTTTCTATCCTATCATCAGCTTCAGAGTTCACTCCAGTGATAGATTCACTCTTAACATAGGTAAATGTAGTATATATATGACTATCATTACCATAATATTGTTAGGAATAATTATCGGGAAAAAGTTTCTGTATTGATCTCACCCATTTACAATAAACAAGAGTAGAGTATATATAGAGGAGGTTACCCACACTCTGTGAAGTCACAAGGAAACATACGTCTACCAGGAAATATTGAATATACTCATGAAATACTCTGTAATGTATACCAAATGTTTAGTAATTTGATATTATTCGATAGTCCTTGCGTGATATATATTGGACTCCAATTTTCACTTGCACTATGAGAGTTCATTATGGACCAGACTGTTCTTTTTTGGTTATTTCAGATACATATCATACAATGTCATAAATACATGCAGGCTCAGGAGCTGAAGAAGATGTGAAAATGGATTCATTTGTTGATAATATTAATTCTTATTCCTATTTGTACCCCACAGAGCTTCCTTCCAAAAGATTTGTCTTCAAATGGTGAGCTTTTTTTTATGTCGCTGATATATATATGTGTGTGTGTGTGTGTGTTTCTCTGCCATATTAGACTAGGGGAGAAATAAGAGAATTGCATTAGAATCCATTGTCGTCTATGTGTTACCTGATTTTTTTACCTTCTGGGACAAAACGAAAACCTTTATGCAATTCTTATTTTTTTCAAAGTCTTTCACACCACTATATAAGGTGAGATTCCAAACAAGTAGTTCTGAATGCCATATAGAATTTGGTGGTTAAACCAAATTTGCCATTTTTATGAATCTGGTTCTTGTGATCTTGCATGTTATTGAAGCATCTTCAGTGCACGCTTCAAATGTCACTTCAACTTCAAACTGAAGTAAAAAGTGAAGCAAAATAAACTCCAATGCATGCTTCAAAATGAAGTTATGAAGATGATATGACCCTTTGTGAATGATCTAAACATGTGGCTAGTCTGGCAGAAATTTTTGGGGTCTAAACCTGTGAATGAAGTATGCTTCAAAATAAACTCCAATGCATGCTTCAAACATGCTTCATCGGTTCACTCTTGGCAGCGGCTCTACACTAACTTCTAGGAAAAACAGAAGTGAAATGAGAGAATACAAGGTTGTAACGGGATACAAAGCTCCTAATATAAGTGCCACAGGTGGCATACCTGTTGGGGTATCTATGAATACTGAATAGCAAACCACAACCAAACAAGAACACACACAAAACAGAAATCAAAACGGAGAAAACGGAACACAAGATTTATAGTGGTTCGGTCGGCTGACCTAATCCACTTTGCAACTAGGGTTTTTATTATCTAGGTGCTCACAGAATTAGAAGTACAGAGATCCCTATTTATGAAGACTAAACTAGGGTTGAAAACTTAATCCCCAAGTTAGGCCCAAGCCCACATAGAGAATTAGGGCCGGCTAAATTAAAAAACCTAATTTACTGCCATATGGGTCGAACCAAGACTAGGGCCGGCTGCCCTTCCTGGTCGAGCCTCCACACTCAATTCGCCCAACAATCTCCCACTTGGAGGCTCGAACAACGCCCCTTAGTCTTCATCATCTGTAACTCTTGTAATCCTCATTTTCCACTAGTTGCAGCGGCCTTCTCTTCAGTTATCTGAAGGCCCGTTGAAGCTCCCACTGAGCTTCAACTCATCAGTCACAACCCGTGACTCGTTCTCTTTCTCTGCTAGCTCCG